CTCCTGATAACATGCCCTGCAATCACAGCCGCGTCCTGTGATCGATGATGACAAGAGCAGGGACACCACGGTCCGGAAGAGCTCCTTTTGTCTTCTGTGGACTGAGTTGGGAGCAGATCAGGGCGCAGGTCTCCCAGGGCTCCGAGCTGTCTCCCCCTGCTGCCAGGGACGGGCTCGTGTTTTCACGCCCCCTGGGAGCCTGGCACCCTCTTTGGGACCAGAGTCAGCACCCTCCTGATGGAGTGCTCTGGGCTAAGGATCTTCTGAACCCACTCACTGCCGAGGCGATGCTCATTCATTTCTTTATTTCTTTACATGCATTTTTTGATCTTTTCTTTTAAATGTTCTTGACAATGGGAAAACAGACATGAGGGACACATCAGCCATATCCTAGTCTGGTGGGGTGACAAGGGAACCACTGACATAGTGTGATAGATGTCGAGATTGCTCATGGGCATGGGTGCTCTGCAAGGACGTGGGGATCCCTAACCCACCCAATCAGTCTAGGGACCAAGTCAAGCTTGTGTGATGCTTTGAGGAGGGCTGGAGCCTAGGCAGAGGGTTGCAGCAGAAAGGGTGTGTTTGACATATGTAATAGCACCTGAGACATGGCTGTTAAACAGTGTCACACATCAGGGGACTGTCCAAAGTTCGGTTAGGACAGTGGTTCTCAGTCCTGGTAGCACTTTGGAATCACCGGGAAGTGTTAAAAAATGCTGATACCTACACCCCAGCCTCAGAGATTTTGATGTCATTGGCCAAGGGAGGGGCCCAGGCATATGCACTTTTTTTTTTTTTCTAAAGTGCTGCCAGGACTGAGAACCAGGAATGTAAGGGAAGCAGCTGCAGAACTTGACCCTGAAGGGAGTCAGGCGAGGATCTCTGCTAAGATAGGGCCCAGAATCCGAGCTGCCTTTGGGGAAACGGGAAAGACTCCTGCAGAGCTCAGCGGAGAAATAGAGGCCCGCTTCTCCCCAGCTGGGGCTTCGGCTGCCCTCTTAACTGTTCCTTTTGAGCTGCTGTTTCCTAATCCCTGTGTAAAAGCGAAAGTCAGGTGGGAAATAACAAAACAGGCAGTAAAATAAAATAAGCTGAAAGATTACTCAATAAAAAGAAGCAATAAAATGGTAAAAGAAGGCCGATGCAGTAAAAACTCCAAAACTCAACCAGACAGAATCACTGCCAAGGGCCAAACGATAAAAGCAAGAGCGAAATGGGCTGATCTAAGTGGTCAGCATTTTTATGCATGGGGACGGTGAAGGAGGATTATTCCCATCTTATAGGGGACCAAACAAGGCTTGGGAGATGAGGCATCATGGCTCCCGTGGGCAGGGCAGGGACTCAACCCCACGATACGGATGAGAAAGTGGAGTTTAACTCGTCCAGACGTGGAGACATTCGACTCCTGCACGCTGCTGGTGGGAATGCAAAACGGTGCGGCCGGTGTGGAAAGGTGAGCAGAGGTTCCTCAAACCACCAAAAAGAACACGACCACCTGAACCAGCGATGCCGCTTCTGGGTACTTATCCAAAAGAACTGACACCAGGATCAGGAAGAGATATCTGCACTCCCATGGTTACGGCAGCGTTATTCCCAATAACCAACAGGTGGAAACAATCTAATGTCCATGGACAGAGAAATGCATAAAGAAGCTCTACGTTTTATACACACAATGGTATACTATTCAGCGTAAAAGAAGAAGGCAATTCTGCAATATGAGACAACATGGATGGCATTGTGGTAAGGGAAATAAGCCATTGACAGGAAGACAAATACTGCATGACTTCACTTACATGGGGCATCCAAATGGGCAAGTTCAGAGACTCAAAGGGCAGAGTCGTGGGGACATGGGGCATTCCTAATCCATGGGCATAAAGTCCCAGGGAAGCAGGATGAATGAGCTGTTAGAGACCTGCGGTACCACACTGTGCCTATTGTCAGTGGTGCTGCTTGTACACTTAAGCATTTGCTGAGGACACATCTCATGGTAAGTGTTTGAACCACAGTGAAATGCTTTCAAAAGGAAAGAAAGAAAATCAGCTGTGACGCGCTGGGCACCCTCAGCTCTAACCTGGTCAGCCCGGGGCGGGGCCCAGGCAGGAGGGTGCACGTGGTGCAACCCCACAATTTCGTGGCTGGGCTCTGCTCTTAGAGGTCAGTGTGCTTAGGTACTGCACACTCTGAGGACTCACACGTGGCTTTAAGGACTAAGCATCTGTGAAGGTGTTTCAGGAACTGTTATTCCTTCTGGGGGCCTGAGGGACCTGGGAGGTTAGGTCACTCTGCCTGGGCCACCGAGCTGGCAGTCAGCTGCGCCTGCGTTCCCGCCCAGGGCGGCCGGACTCCAGGCCAGGCTGTGGCTGCTGCGCCACAGCTGCCCAGCAGGGACCCTGAGGGGCATAGACTAGTGGTCACGTGCCTTTCCGTGTCACTTCTGGGTCTTTCAAGCTTTAGGGTCGACAACATCCTCCTTGTTCCAGGCTGGTCCACACTGAACAGTCATCATCCAGATGGAGAAAAGGGGGTGGCGTGCAGCTCAGCATTCGAGAGGAGCTTCCTGCCAGTGAGAGGGGTTTGATGGAGAGACAGGGGCCTGCGAAGGCAGAGGGCCCAGGCGACCTCCTGGGTAATCACCTGAGGGGTCCGTGGGGAGGGAAGGGTCATCCTTGAAGGTATTGTGCACACGGGCATTTGTGTAGAGGTGGGCAAGGGAAGTTGTGCTTAGACACGCCTCATGTGTCACCAAGGCTCTGAAATGGAGGGGCTCAGGGGGGCTGGTGAAAGCTCAGTGGGTGAGAGATGGTTCTAGAAATGAGCTCACAGAACTAGAAGTTCCAGAAGACTCTACATCAGTATAGAACCTGCCCTCCCCCGTCATTCTCTTAAGGCTGGTGCCTGGGGCTCTGGCAGGACCACGGGCGCTGGCTTGTGCTGACGTCGCGTCACTGTTTGTCGGCTTTGGTGGGAACGACACCTGGTCAGTGAGACCCCGTCCCTGTCTTCCTGCAGCTGGTGACAAGGTCCCCGGGTGGGTGTGGCCAGCGAGGGCCATGGGAAAAGAAAGGTGGTGGTCAGAGATGGGTGGCATCCTGGGCTTGGAGACGGATGAGTTCAGAGGGAGAGCAGCCGTGCTGGCAGGGGCCTGATCGCTGAACCACCACCCGACTCCTGATGCCCCTAGACCTGCGGTGAGAAGCTCAGGGTAAAATTACGTTTAAGTCACTTTGCTACAAAACATCAAAACCAATCTCTGTGTAGCAGTCAACTTGGTTTCTTCATCTAGAAGTTGGAGATCATAACCATATCCCCCTTGGATCATTGAAAGGATTAGATGAGATTAAGCTAGAAAACACCCAGGAAAGGCTTGGCACCGTGTCGCCAGCTTCGAAGAACTCAGGTTCATTGTCTTCCTCCCCTTCCTTCCCCACACTTTGGTGGGAAGCTTGGAGCAAATATGGGCCTTATGAGGGTAGAGGCGCCTCGTCCACCCAGCAGAGGGTGCAGGTGAAGAAGGTGCGCAAGGCCACTGACGCATCTCGAAGTGCAATGGGTGAAGGCAGAAAGAGGAAGGGAATCTCACAGGGGACCACCTTGCTTTTCTCCCTGGGGAGGCAGGAGGTGAGGTCTCTTTGGAGCCCACGGGTGGGACATTGCAGGGAGGGTGGTGGGGGGACAGCAATGAGGGTCTTGAATACCCTTTGAGGGACACGGGAGAGAGAAAGCTGACCAAAGACAAGCATTACTGCTGGTGCAACTACTTCATAACAGAAATAACAACGAACCTATTTTTAGTGCAAAGAGCCAAGTTCTCTGGGTGCCTTTCTTTTTCATTCATTTTTTTCAAGACTCTCACGAGGCAGATGCCGTTAGTGTCCTATTTAATGGAAGACGAAAATGAGGCTCGGGAAGTGTCCAAAGTCAGGGGTGTCCTAAATCGTAGAGGTGGGCTTCAGTCTCAAGTCTTACAGCAAAGCCACACCCATAACCCTCCTCACCATCCTTGATGACTGGAAGCTCTAGTGGGTGGAGGTCTTGCATTTGCACGGAAATCCATTCCTGAGGTTGTGCTACTGTTTTGCTCTTTGACCCTATGAAGGTGGAGAGCAAGTGTGCTGGGCTGGAGGTGACGAGAGAGGTGGAAAGGTAGGGAAGAGGTGCTGGTCAGGGAGAGACTGGAAGGTCGCAGAGTCGGGGAATATTAGGTGACGATGAGTGCAGGGGTGACAAACCATGGGAGTGTGAGGCTGAGTCTGAGTGGAGGAGGGGGTCATAACTAGGTGTGAATGCCCTTCGTGATATTAGGGACTGGCCTCCAGAGCCGGAGAGGAGAGGTCTGGAGGGCAAAGCATAGGGGCTGAGATTTAACGGGGGAGGGGCTTTTGCAAGGTGAGGGTTTAGAAGGGGGGTGGGTGAGAAGGAGAGTCCCAGTGCCTCTTGGGGGGCCTGTGTGCGTAGGGGAAAGGGCCGTCTCCAGCAGATGGCTGCAGGGGACAGTGTTCTGGGGAATCTTCTTTTAGTTCAGGCCAGGGGAGGGAGCTCCATGCTGGAAAAGACTTTCTTACGCAATGAGGATGAGGGACAGATTCACACCGATGACAGTGCCCGGCCCAACGCCTTTGGGAACATCCACTCATGCCCATTCCCCAGAGGGACTTTGGATTCACATAAATCTTGGTCTCCACCCAAGGTTTGCCCCTTCCCAGTTAGGAGATCTTGGGCCTCAGGGTTCAGTAAAGCCTGGCATGTAGCATGGAGCTCAGAGTGCGCCCTTCTTCTCCCCCATGTCCCCGCCTCTTCCCTCAGCTTTGGGACAGGGTGGTATGAAGCAGCAGTGGAAGGAGAGGCCTCAGGAAACCCTCCCCTGGATCTCGGGGTGTGGCTGAGGCTCCATCAAGGCTGCAGGGGGCTGGATGGCAGGGTTGGAGCCTCCTCTCATTTCCCAGGTTTCTCTTCCTCCTAAAGGGTGGACTTTGTGAGAGGACAACCAGGGAGGGCTGCTGGGCTGCCTGCCGTCCCAAAGCCCAGCTCTGACCTAGAGTGGTGGGCGCTCCACCTCCGCCACCGTCATGGAAGCCAGGCGCCAGGCTACCAGACGGCAGCTGCGCCTACCCGGGGTCGTGCGGCTGGCTGTTGCCTGTCTGCTAAGCTGTCTGCTTGTCCCGGGCCAAGCCAAGATCTACAGTCGCTGTGAGCTGTTCAAAGTGCTACAGGCTTTCGGCCTGGAGGGATACCGGGGCTACAGCCTGGCTGACTGTGAGTACCCCTCTTCCTGGCTGGCCCGGCCCCTCCCACCACCCTTTCCCCTTTCTCCTGTCTCTACTCCCCCTTGCTCAGGGGTGTGGCCTCAGGACATTTCTGAGCCTCAGCTCTCATTTGTAAAACAAGGATAATATGAGATCACAGGTAGGGACACCCAGCACTGAGTGAAATATACAGCAGATGGACAACAGGCTGCTCAGTCAGGATCGTCCTTCACTTTCTCAGCAGCTGAAATCAGGATTCAAAGGAAGAGGACAGTTAGTCCCCTCATCTTCATCTTGGCACCCCCATCAGGCATTCCCATTGACAATTAGGGCAAATGGTGTAAACCGGCCCTGCCAAACTTCCCAAGCTGTGGCAGCTTTGGGGAGCTGTGAAGTACAGCCACATGTGTACTCATTTCGCTCTAGTTCTAGCTCCTTCTGCAGGTCCCACCTGCACATCCCTAATCTTGCTTCTAAAGTCTTAGCTCTCATTGATTCATTGATGCATTCCACAAACATTTCTTGGGCTTCACTATGTGCAGAATAGTGAGACAATGGGAAGATTGTCAGCCTGGGGGCAGGAAGTCCGAGGTCCAGGCTTGACTCTTGCTATTTGGTAGCTGTAATATCCTTGAGTAAGCCAGTTCGTCCCTCTGAGCCTCACGGTACTGGCCTGTCAAGTGAGAGGGAGGGCAATTGCCCTGATCAGCAGGAGTTGAGGCTCAAAGGAGCTAATGTGTGGGACCTGCACCGTGAGCTGGTCTGGGTTGGTCTTGACCATGTGACCCAGAGGTCTTTGTCTCCACCCTTTGTAGGGATCTGTCTTGCTTATCATGCAAGTGGCTTCGATACAGGTTTTGTGGACCACGAACCTGATGGAAGTACCAACAACGGCATTTTCCAGATCAGCAGCCGGACATGGTGCCAAAATATCAACAAAAAAGGCCCAAATCGGTGCCGGATGTACTGTTCCGGTAGGCTGGGCCTGAGTCTTGGCTGGCTGGGGCCAGGCCCTGCACCAGGCTTTGCCTCTTCCCCATTTTCTTTGTTCCTCTTGCCTTTATCTCTGAGTGGGCACGCCCTTACATCCTGCTGGTCCTACCAAGGAGAGCAGGATGGACAATGAGGAGGGTGGGTGGTCCATGAATTTGATGTGGGGTCCCAGGAGGGAGACTGTTCTCAGATTTATAGGAATGGAGTGGGAATTGCTTCATAAGAGACAAAAGTGATAAAAGAAGACCTGTGCTTCCAGAGGGGTCAGGAGGCAGGGCTGGCTTAGGATGGAAGAATGTGTGTCTCCGGGTGTGTCACAGAGGAAAGAAGCACACAGACACATTCTTCATGTATGTCCAGCCCTGCCCCTGCCCCCTCATCATGTTTCTCTGTCACACACCACAGACTTGTTGAATCCCGGCCTCAAGGATACTGTCATCTGTGCCATGAAGATAAGTCAAGAGACCCAGGGCCTTAGCAGCTGGTAAGTAACTGGGCTGGAGCCCCCAAGGGGAGGTGGCCAGGATGGGTGGACAGCAGAAGGAACTCACCTTTCTGAGGGCCCGCTGTGTCCCAGGACCGTTCCGTGTCTTCACAGTCTCATCCTCACACGTTTCCATGGCAGAAAGGTTCTACCACTGAAGAGTTGGCAGACAACGCCCAGCGTTTTGGGGAGGATGAGCCCCTCACTGGGGGTCATGGCACAGGCCGGGCTCTCCCAGGCTTTGCCTCTGTTGGGATGCCTGCCTCAGGTGCACTGGATCTGCATCCAGTGAACCTTTGGGGTTTGTTTTTGAACTGTGGCATCTTTGTTTAAACTAACATTTATGTGAAGTCCACGGTGCACAGCAGATGAAATAATAAATCCCCTACCTGAAGCAGGGGGGCTGTCCGGGGCCTCGCCCTGGCAGCCTTCGCCTTCCCCGCGTCTTTCCCACAAGATGGGCAGCCCTCCTCCCGGGCAGGGGTGGGGGATGAGCACCGATGGGGCACCCGACTAGACCTCTGGTTCACAGAGGGGCCTCTACGCAGCAGCCCGACAGCTCCCCGGCCTCCTCTGGTGGGAGTTGCACTGAGAGTCTGCAGCCTCCTTTCCTCCCCTTTGTGGATGCGAGGCCAGCAGGGGGCAGCATGTGGGGATGGTAAGGCACTCCAGGTGGCTGGTGGCCCCAGAACCTCGGGCAGATGTGACAGTGACGAGGCTGGTGAACTGTCCAGAAGGCAGGAAATGTCCGGTAGAGACCAGAGGCAGGGAGACCGTTGGAGGAGCCTTTGCCGGAGTCTAGGCGAGGGTGTGCGGTCCAGATGAGGAGAGTTCTACAGGTGATGGACGGGAAGGTTGGGAATGGGGGTTCATGGGGAGGATGAGGGACGGGTGCTATGTGGTCAGGGAGGCAAGGGAGGAGTTGACCATGGCTGTGAATACACAGAAGGTCTGAGACAGACCTCGACAGTGGCCACAGCTTTGGAGACTTGAGGTTGGAGGGCAGGTGAAGCCCTAGGAACTGGATGGAGAGTGAGGCAGGCTCCGCAGGACACGGTGCATGTGTCTTGGATCAGGAAGGGCGAGCCTGGCTCAGCAGGAACCCAAGGGCTTGAGGCCTTGGGGGTGCCACCCTGGGATGGACGACACTGGTCCTTTTGGGTAAATTGAAGAACAACCCTCTTTTGTACACTGGAGCGAACTCATGGCATATATACCCCCTTAAAGGTGGCCAGGGCGGATAGGAAGTGGTCCCAGAAGGTGGAAATGTCCAGCTTACCCCTCCACGTGTGCACATGGAGGACTGCTCTGTGCTGGGTGCTGGGCTTCAGGGACGGCTGAGACCCAAGGCCTTGCCCTCCAGGGCTCACAGCCTAGAGGAAGACACAAGAACCCAGTAGACCACTCTTGTTTGATGGGGCAATAGAAGTCCCTTACGGACACTTCTGGTCACTGGGCTCTTTGACATTGCCAGCAGGGAGGACATTAATGATCATATTTGGAACTTCTGGGATCTGGGACCACAGGACTCCCGAACCCCAGGATCTTGTTTATCTTCCTCATGATGTCAGCGTGATCTGGAATAAGGCACGGCCCTGAGTCTATGAACTAAAGTCACAACAGTTGAAAGTCCCAGGAGAACTGGGTGTGAGTGCAGTTCTGTTGTTCACTAGATGTGGCCCTTGGGCAGGTGATTTTGCGTCTCAGTCTCAGTTTTCCACTTGGAATACAGGGAACGTAATATCGGCCCCATCTACCTGACAGGGCTGCTGGGGGGGCAGGTGAATGGGCGATGGATGTGACAGTGCTATGCGTAATGTAAAGGGGGCACCACTGTCCGCAGAAGCAGCATGACGTCGGAGAAGAGCATTGGACTGGACCCCAGAGCTCCAGGCCTTTGCACTGACCCCTGAGTGACTTGAGCAAATTACATGCAACCCCACAGGGAAAATAAGGAGTCTGTGCAGACGACTATTAAGGGCCATTCTGTTCCTTTTTAACTTCTTCTAGGTAACACAGTTTCCTCTTCTCTCTTTTCCTTGCTAGTCCTTTGCTCTCCTCACTCCCTGTTTGGAGCACCCGCCTCCTTCCTGTTCTTCTCTGAGCAGGGCCTGAAGGCAGCCGCTGATGGGTCTCTCCCCTCCCCACTCTGCTTCCTCAGGGAGGCCTGGAGGCGTCACTGCCAGGGCCAGGACCTCAGCGACTGGGTGGATGGCTGTGACTTCTAGGATCCTGTCTGGATGGACCAGGCCAGGCCCCGCAGGCTGGGGGCTGTGGTTTGGTCCTGCCGCAGGAAGGAAGACAAGCCAACTAATAAAGGATAGTTTAACATAACTGTGTTTCTCAGCTATCACTGTGTTTTCAGGCGGCTTGTTGGAGCCAGAGCATGTCAGGGTTTCTTCACCTGTCCACCTTTTAGGGCCTCAGGTTGGCTCTAGAATGCCTACCATGGAAGGCTGGCCTCCCTTAGTGGGGGCGGGGCTTCAGCGCCTCCCTTGCGCACACCCGGCAGTGTCTCCTAGATTCTGGACCTGAATGTAGGTTTGCCAGATTTAGCAAAACAAGCAAACAAAAACAACAAAAAAAACAATGACAACAAAAACAGGATGCCCCAGTTAAATTTAATTTTAGATGCATTACAAATAAATTTTACTGTATGTTCTAAATATTGTTAAGGATACACTTAACGTTAGAAAATGATTTGTTGTGTACCTGAAATTCACGTTTAGCTAGGTGTGTCACATTTATGTGACAATCTTCTTGAGTTTGGTGCTTGCACCTCTGGCTTCTTTGAGAGGGCTCTTACTTTCTGTGGTTCTGGTCCCAGAAGGTGGCCTAGTGCCTTGTCCCTCTGGCTGGTGACTGCTCTTTCAGTGGTAGCTGTCAAGCAGTGGTGCATGGTGACTGGGGACAACCCCCAGGGACTTCAGCTACAGCTCTCACCCTGCTGTCCTGTGTCATCTAGCAGCAGGACATTCAGGTGTCACTGATAGTGACAGTGGCCGTCACAACCTGGGTAGGGAAGCTGCCATTTGTCCTGCCGCTGACAGCTCAGAGGCTGGAGCGTGGGTGGAGGGCATGGGCGGCTCTCAGGCAGCCAGCTGGAGTTCTCCGCCTGCCTCAGTGTGAGGGAAGCTCAGAAGAAGGCAGCGCTGGCTCCCATTGACCTGGAGCTCAGCATCCAGGGATGGAAGAGGAAGGAGGGCGGAGCCTCAGGGCCACTGTGGGTGTGGTGCCAAGAGCAGCCACGGAGGCGATGACTGAGAGGCTGAGCCCTGAGTTCATTGTAGATTCTTCCGGAAAGGCCTCAGAGAACCCTGCAAGTACTGAACTGCTGACTGCAGTATGGCTGGCGACCCCCAGGAATGAGAGGGTCTATGAGGTTAACCAACCCTCCCCGTTAATCTGCCATCTCCAAATGCCCCTGGTCCCACCAGGGGGTGGCTGAGTGTCCACAACTGGTGAGGCAGGCCAGTTTCCTGCGGGCCTATGTCAGGCCACCCCCAGCCCACTGTGTCCCACGCCGGCTTTCGGTTCCGCAGGCCAGCGGAGCTCTTGCCTCCAAGTCCAAGCAATGCTAGAGCTTGAGGGCTGCTCACACATGTGGACAGCGATGAGGGCCAGCTCCTTGCTGGAGCTGGCGGTTGGGGGCATCAACAACTGGTGGGCCCATTCTCATTAAATCGTAGGTAGGGAGATATTCGCTGCTCTTTAACATTAAAGTGGTCATGGTGTGCCTGCCAGGTGCCATGCCTTATCTAATTTAGACCCTAGAACAACAACTGTGATGGACGTACATCATTATCCCCAGTTCACAGATAAAGAAACAGGCTCAGAGAGGGTAAGTTTGCACTCGGGTCAATATAACGCCCTGCGTGCTCTTCGTTACGGAGAACCGGCTGTTTGGCCGCCTGCAATCTTCTCTCTCCCTCACCTGGACAGACTCTCATGACCCGCCATCACTGTAGGATTCATACCCTCTACCTCAGCTCACGTTGGCCTTCTGTTTCCTACAACCACCTGATTGTTCCCCTGGGTCCCATTTGCCCAGGAGCAGGTGGACTGAGGTCTTTGGAATCTCAGGGAGAGTTGTCGAAAGGACTCGGAGGCTCTGGGCTGGCATGAGAGCCTCAGGGTCCCTCACGTGGGGCCGGGCAGAGGTCAGGCCTGGTCGAGACATTCTGGGGACCTGGGCTGGGTGGCTGACCAGGACCAGGTGCAGAGGGAAGAGTGTATCCACAGGGGGGTGCCCTGGCCAAAGCCAGGGACCCTCACTTGTGCGTGAGGGCCGAATGGTCTGTAAGCCCACCTGGACGTCCAGCCCCCACATGAAGCACTCAGGGTGGTGAGAGTAACCAGGCTGCGTCCTGGAATTGCCTGTTTCCACGTCACTCTCTCACCCCACCTTCCACTGGTCTCTTTGTCCTGTCTACCTTTCCTTTTCAGTATCACTGGAAACTGTCCCTCCTTTCCATCCCATTTACCTTTAATCGACATCAAGCCCCCATCACCTTTGTCGTAGGACCAGCGTCATGGCCTTGTAAGGGTGTCCCTCGCCATCAAGTCCCCCCTCAGAGTGAGCTCTTCGCCTTGTTACTCTCCTGCATTCTGGCTCCAGTGGCTTTTCTCATGTTCCGGTTAAAGGTCAAGTTCCTTGACCTGGTCTCCAAGTCTTTCATGACCCAGGGAGATTCTTTTCTCAACTGTCCAGAAACTTTTGCTCGAGGTGGTTCGTCTCCCTGCATCGGGCTCCCCGAGTGCAGCTTCCTACCCTGCCACCACCCACCGCTCCCCTCCCCTCACTGCACCTCAGCTCATAAAAGCTCCCCTCACAGGCGGCAAGCTTGTCCCTGCACGGGCCCCCCGACCCCCGCTGTCCTGTCTCCCTGGAGTGCTGTCCTCAGACCTTTGAATGGTTATTCCTTCCTTTTCAGCCAGGTCTTGTCTCGATTTTCCCTCCTCGCAGTGACTTCACCTGCCTCCAAGTTCTCCGCTGCCTCCAAGCCTTTGCTCAGGAGCCTCCTCTGCAAACCCTGCCTGCCAGGCCCCTCCCACCCATCTCTCAGGGCTTCGCCCAAGCCTGCTCGTCCTCGGCCCAGCAGACAGACGTTCTTCCCCAATGAGCTGACTGTGCCTCGCGCACCCCCACTGCTGCTGTCGTGGCTCAAGGTCTTGTGTGTGTGCCTGTCGCCCACCTCTGCCTGGCTAGGCTGTAAGCCCTGCTGAGACAATGTCTTCTTGAAATATGAACCCCCAGTGTCTAGCGCAGTGCCTGCTACCCAGTGCACATGGAGTGTGTGTGTGTGTGGGGGGGGGGGGGGGGTCTGGCCAGAGATTCCCGCTTGGGCTGGGAAGCCTTCTTCCCGTGGCTTCTTGACCCTCTATGTTGTGTTGAGCTGGGTATTGTTTGGTGCCCACTGATCACTTGGCGTTGGGCCTCTTTACCTTGGATGTAATTCCTTTTGACAGGAAGCCACAAAGTCTGAATTACTTGAAACATAAATCATTCATAGTGGTGACCTTAGCCAAAGGAGCCACTTCCTTAGAGTCACTGCACGGAGAGCAGCCTCAGGAGGCTGGACGTCCAAATTCCCCACCCCAACGCGTCCCTCACAGCTGTTATCAGGAGGTCTCTCTCTCTCTCTCTCTTTCTTCCTTTTCTTCTTTCCTTCCTTCCTCCCTTCTTTCCTTCCTTCCCCCATTCCTTCCTTCCTCCCTCCCTCCCTCCCTCCCTCTCCCCCCTTCTCTCTCTTTTCCTTCCTTCCTTCCTTCCTTCCTTCCTTCCTTCCTTCCTTCCTTCCTTCCTTCCTTCCTTCCTTCCTTCCTTCCTTCCTTCCTTCCTTCCTCCTCAAAAAGCATCATTTCAGTTCTGCTCAGAAACGAGTGCAATGTCCACAGAGGCGCATGTCCGGGGCAGAGCGGCAGCCACAAGACGTTCCGCACCCGTTTCCTGGTGCGGTGGGCTCCGTGGCCCCTCATTCCTGAAGAAGCAGGCCACAGGGACGTTTGTGAAGCGAGGCTGCACTTGCCTCCTCTGTCTGGAGGCCTCCTTGGCCCTCCAACTCGCCACATGTGTAAGATAATTTTATCTTACCCCAAGATAAGCCCCAATCGCAGCCCCAAGGTTCTCTGTTCACGTCCGTTTTCTGCTCATCCATTCGCTTTGCCATCTGTGAGGACTTGCTCGTGCATAACGTGCAGCAGGTGCCAAAGGTTTAAAAAAATTATGCGAGAAAAACTCGAAATCCGTCAAATCCTGTCTGTCCTTCCCCTCCCACCGGTAGGTGGGAAAATGGCAGAGTCTTCAGGTCATGTGAGGAGAGGAAACGCGGGTGCCCCTGGGGTGTGTGGTGGGCCCTCCTGGAGGACAGCGCAGCACTTTCGGAACCAGGGCGGCTCTGCCCGCATCCGCACGCCCCTCCGGCTCACGGCTGACTGGGGGCTTTATAAACCTCCTCAAATTGTGTGAACATTTTATGTATATGCATGTCACCATGTGCATTGTATTTTTTGGGGGGAGGTGGAGAAAGTTCATAGTTTTTACCTTATTTTTAATCCAAACAAGATCATCAATGTTTTACAGGAAGAAATATGAAAAGAAGAAAAGATAGAAAGTATATGTCTTAATTCATCTGATGTTATAATAACTCTGAAGGCTAGGCATCATCATCTCCATCATATACATGGGCAATAGAGATTAAGCAGGCTATTCAATATTTGCTCAGATACCTGACACCATTCTCAACTTAGACTCATAGATTTTTAGAGTTGGGATGCACTGAAAAGATTTTTTTGTCCATTTCCCACCGCCGCCTCTTTTATAGAGGAGGAAACTTAGGCCCAGAGAAATGGACTAAATTATCCAAAGTTATATGGTCAATTACAGCTGAAATGGGTTAGAAATACAGTTTTTTGACTCTCTCTCCAAAGCCTTTGCCAGCCCATTGCTCCTGCAAAGCCTGTAGTGTAGGCCTCAACGAATGCTAAAGTGCATTAGGAAGAGACTCCTCCTCCCCTGTCCTCAGGCTGGGTGGTTTCCACTGACTTGTTTTGTGGTTCTCAGTGACTTCATGGCCCCAGACAGGCTCAACCTCCTGGCCTTTGGAAAACGCAAACGCAGGCACAAACGATTCCATGTGCCAGGAACCTCCAATGAGTGGGGAGAAGCCGTTAGCCAAATAAATCAACCCTTGGCTTGGGAAGCATCTTCCTAGACACTTGGAGCCCAGAGGAAGCAACTTGGAGGATTTAGCTGTGATACGCTCCTCAGGGTGGGGGCCCAGCCCTTTATCCTTTGGTACCTGCCTGGCTCTCAGGGGCCATTTTGCACACTCCCTTTTGACTCCGATGCTTAGGTCCCCTGGACCTATGTGCACACCTTGAACAGGGCCTTGTCCATGACTCCTATCCCCAGGCTTTGCATATTCTGCTCCCTCACTCTCCTTCCACTAAACTTTGATTCAACTTTCCTCATTATCTGTTTGCCTGTCAGTATTCCCTGCTCAGGTGATCAATTCCTTGAGGGCAGGAGCCCAGTACATAACAGGCAGACGACCAATAGGAGTGGAGAAAATGGCGAACCGGTGTTCTTCCTGTGTCTCCCCATCCTTCAAGGCCCGGCTGCCTTCCCAGCTATGCCAGAAGCTTGATCTGTGCAGCTTCAGGTCTGTCTGGCCACACCTGGATCTGGGCTGGTGACACGCCCCCTGGAGAAGCAAACCCCCTGGCCTCTTGAGCCTCCCTTGCTTCCCTGTAACATGGGGGAAGTGCCATGTTCTCTGGCACTTCCTGGAGGCCCTTCCCTCTGCCCTGAGTTCAGTTCTCACAAGTGAATTGAAATCTCTGAGTTTGTGGATGAAGAACTCCCAGGTCTGTCCTTGGGCCTCTGGGCTCAGGCAGGCAGAGGTGAGCTTCACTGAGGGAAGTGCTACCCACCAAGGGCACACCTGTGGGTGGGGCCTATCTCTGGCTTCCTTTTTCCCAGCTCACCCAGCACCTTTTGCTGGGCATCCGTTGTGGACCCTTTCTCATTAGGCGTGTTCATAGTGAATTTCTTACAGAAATAGCTGCAGGCTGGAAAGGGGAAAATAAAAAAACTGGCCTTCCTCTCTCTGCCCAAACAACAAAGCAATGGCATGTTAGCAGTCAGCTTCGTCCTGGGACGGCTACGCACAGAAATGCTTGACCCTTTCTCGCTCCCTAACTGCAGCAGGTGTTATTATTTTACTGATTGATTGATTGATTGCCCTCACCCTCTGAGGTCACTGATAATCCAACCTTGTGGTTTGGGCTTATGATTGTTCTAGACTCCTGGCCTTTGTGGCATCATTTGGGTCAGTGTCAAAAATGTGACATATCCCCATGTGTCCTTGTCTACCAACCTCTCCAGGTCTTCACTAAAGAAATGATTACACACATGGCTATTTGTTTGAAATGATAATAAAGAACCTCCCCTCCTCCAATCCCAGGAGTTTAGGAGACATGATGTCTTTGGTTAACAGTCAATAAGTGATCATCAGTACCTGGCTATTGATTTGCTCTCTTGAATTTCCTGCCTTTTCCCCCTTTGAACAGGTTAGGTTTGTAGACCTGCTCTACGAGGAACAAAGCCAGAATCCCCCGATTGGAAGGAGCCCCTGTGCATGTGAGGCCAGAAGCATGCCAAACCCGTTAGAACAGTCTTTGCTCCATCTCAGATTGATCTGACGTTGTCTGTCTGTTTTGGAAAAGGAAGCCAGAAATCCAATGAAGCAGTTTGAATTGCAACTCAATTTATAGATTTGAAAAAATGCATGAAACTCTTAAACTAGAACAAGGCAGAGCATCCAATAGTCTCCAAATTCACTGAAGAGACATTTCATTTGGTTTCTGTCCCTGATGGGAGCATCTGAGGACATTCCCTGCTCTTTCCAGCCTGGTGTTGTGAGAAGTGAGTTTGTCTCAGGAGACGGATTTCCGTGCTCTGGCAAAGTCTGGAAAAAAGATTGCTCTCAGTCCTTCTTGCTCTAAGTGGGTTTATAAATGGAATTGCGAGTTTGGAAGCATGGGGATATGCCTTTGGCACTGCCACCAACTTACTGGGTGATCCTAGGCAAGTCTCTTTTCTCCTTTTATGGGGCTGCTTATTTGGAAAATGAGGACAATAGGCTACAGGATCCAAAGGGCCTGTGGTAGGAGAATACTGGACCCCAAGGATGTCCACACCCTAATTCTGGAACCTATGAATGTTACTTTACGTGGTAAAATCGGCTTTGAAGATGTGATGAAGTTAATAGTCTTGAGATGAGGAGGCTATCCTGGATTCTCGGGTGGGCCCAATCTGATCACAAGGGTCCTTGACAAATGGAAGCAGGAGGCAGGAGAGGATCTGAGTTAGGGGGAGAGAGGACTATGGGACATTGATATGTGATGTGAGAAGGACCTGACCTGCCATTGCTGTCTTTGACCAAAGAGGAAGCAGCCAGGGGCCAAGGAACGTGGGTGGCCTCTAGAACCTGGAAAAGGCGAGGAAAGGATGCCTCCCTTAGAGCTCCCATCAGGAACCCAGGCCTCCCCATTGCTTGATTTTAGCTCAGTGAGACCAGTGACAGATTTCTGGCCTGCAGAACTGTAAGATAATATACTAGTAGATGTGTTATCTTAAGCCACTCAATTTGTCATAATTTGCTATGCAGGCAATCAATAGGAAATGAAAACATGGCCCCTTCCTGCAACTTTACACTGTTTTTAAGAATTTGAACCCAGATTCTTAAAATCTGGGCAGCCTCAGCTGAGAGGTGATATCACAGGGACGCTCCGTCCCATCTGCCTCCTGGTGGCCTGGGTGTTGCCGGCTCCCAGCCATTGATTGTGCGTGAGAGTGGCTGGTCTGACTTGTCCCACTGGGTAGTGGAAGAGTGCTGTCATAGCCCCTGAGTCTGAAGGGGCTTCTAGAGGTCATCTGTGAAGACACAGGTAAGGTATTGTATTATCTTCATTCTCTCATTGAAGGAACTAAGCCCAGAAAGGTGTAGGGTCTTATCCATTGTCAGGCAGCTCCTGAGAGAAGACATGGGACTGGGTTCCTAGCTCCTGATGTGGGGCTCTTTTCAATTGGTCACATTGGGGATAGACCTCTCCCTTGTGTTAGTGGGTTGGGCAGCAGGGAGAGAGAGAGAAACAGAGAGAGATCAGAAGGCAGAGCAGGGATCAGAACCCCAGACCTCAGGTCTCGCCAGTGCTTTTGTGCATCTGTGCACGAGTGGAAAGCACAAACCACAACTGACCTTTCTTCCCAGCTTTGGGGGAGACTTTGAGTTGGGGGTGATGTGGAGAAAAACTGTCCCTCTGGAATTAGCATGATGCCTTGAGGACAAGGATTCTGCCTGAACAGGAAGCTCTCTTTTGCCACAGGGGGGCTTGAAAGATCAGGCCTCTCCCCACCAAAGGCACCTCCGACCTCCTTTCCCATCGGGATATCCTCGCAGGTATCATGGGGAGCAAGGCAGAAGGCATACGTGACCTCTGCAGGGACAAGCAGGTCTGTTTGACGGGGGTGAAGAGCGGAGGTACGGAGAGGGCACAGAAGCACTGGGGTGCAGGAGCGAGGCCACGCAGGGGCCTGTGTACAGCCCAAGTTCCCTGACGGGGTCAGGGGGAGTCAGGATGGAGATGGAAGAGCAGAGGGGCTGGAAGGCCTCCTTTATGGCTTTCAGGTCTGTGCGGGTCCTCTGCCTCCCCCTCGTCAAGCCACGGTCTGGGCAGTGTCATTCAGACCGTGGGCTGCAGCCCGTCAATGGGTCACGAAGTCATTTACAAAGTTGAGTTTATAAAGATTGAGAAGAGGCGGTAGCGTGTGCACATTTTGTAAAGGTAAGGGCTGTTGCAGAAACTATATAATCTGTCGTTTTTGACTCAGGGAGGCCTGGCTCTTCCTGAAGCCCTTGGGGAGAGAGGTGTGCGGGTGGGGGAAAGGCAGAAACCACCCAGCCACTTCCACAAGACCAGCTTTTAATGTGACCGTGAGTGGAAGCACGAATAAATAAATGCCAGGGAAATGGAAAATCAAACCAAACCTCAGAACATCAAACCCAAAAATCAGAAAACAAAACAGACCTCTGACAGACAACAAAAGCCCCCCAAAGAAACAGAGTCAGACTGTACAAGCCATGTCACAGGGACCAGGACGACGTGGGTGCCGAGGGTGAGTGCCAGAGCCACCCAGGCTGCCGCAGGCGCTGGGGTCGGGGGGTGGCCCCAGTCACCCCATGGGCCAGCTCGGGGTGGATGGGGGAGGGGTTTGTGGGCTGGTTAAGAACCTTCACAAACTATACAAGGACCAGACGTAGTCGACAGTTCTGCGGTTTGCCCCTTGATGGTGCAGTTGTGATTCCAGCGGGGTTTCTCGGTGACTTTGGGGCCGGGACCTGGTCCCACTGCACAGCCGCAGAGTGGCCGCAGGAAACCGCATGGAGGGCTGTCTTGCACAGAGACAGACGTGGAGGTGGCGCCGTGAGAAGTCTGAGCATGCAAGCGCTTTATACATCTGGCAGTGAGATGTGATGGCAGGTTGGTTCGTGGACAGTTCCAGAGTGTGACTCATTTCTCCTAAGAGGGACGCACGGCGGGGCCCGAGGACGCGTCGTGTCAGACGTGGCCATAGCGGGGTTTTGGCAGATAGTTTGCTATGTGTGCATAGGGGGCTCTTGCTTCTTTCTGTCATCGGGGGCCACCCCGCCTGCGGTCTCCTGTCCTGGGTCTTGGGCCTCAAGGTCTGTTTGTGGGGCGCCAGGTGGTCCAAGGGCTGTCAGCAGGCAATCTCCTCTAGGGTCCCCAAGGCCGTCTGCAGGGGCACATTCACAGTGTGGCTGATGGTTTCAGAGTGGTTTGGCATCGTCTCACAAGTGCTCTGGCGGGGAGGGGAAGGTGGGTATTTATATGAAAAAATTCATCAGGTGCCCCTGGCAGCCTCGGGGACCAGGCTCTTCACCCGTGGGCTCCCGCAGGGCACCTCTGCCCCTGTCTCAGATGTCTCGTGTGCTGGTTTGCCATCTCAGGCCTGAGGTGGAAGGGGCCCCACTGCCTTCAGGACGCTTGCCATTGCCCACTTAGGTGCCCCCTGGGACAGGGGAGGGCTCTCTGGTGACGGGGTTTAGCAGCTGGCTTGACCTTCTCTGCTAGAGGTCCCCTGATGTGCCACCGGAAGCTACATCCCAGGGATGTCTAGCTTTGGGGCTGGATAGCCCATCCTACCCTTGACCTCAGGGGCCTCCTTTGGGACCTACCTGGGGTGAGGAGGTACAGCCTGTGGCTAGGCCTGGGGCAGGGGAAGCCCATCGCTGAGGCCAAGCTGCAAGGGCAGAGGCCTCCGACAGCCAGAACCAGAGCTGGTCACAGCTGCCCCAAGGACCTTTAGTCTGGCCACAGGGAAACGTCATCCTGGGTCTCTGAGCAAGGTGTGGCTGAGATGGCTGTGACTCTTCAGGGAGGTTCCCAGGCTGTCCTGCACTGCTATGGGTAAGGGGGCTGGGAGGGATGGGAGCAGTGAGTCAGGCCAGGAAGCTGTGCCAAGAATTTGGAGAGGTTTGATGAGGATGACACTGGCAGAGGGGGAAGGGATGGAGGGAGAGCCTAGGACTGAGATGTTCTGAAGGCAGGAGGGAAGGTGGGATGGGGGAGGGAGCTTGCACTTGCTGAGCGCGGACTATAAACTAGGCAATGCTGATTGCTTTCCAGGCTGCTCTCACTTCAGCTGAATGTCATCCCCCGTTGTGATGAGGCAGCTGCTCCAGGGGATAGGACTTGGCCCTGGGCACATGGCTAAGAAGCAGGGACCTGGGATCCGGGCATCAGCTCGGTCCAGAGCCGGGGCCCCTTCCACTCTGCCCTCCTCAACAGCAGCTGTCTCTGCTCACACAGAGGCTGCCAGAGCCTGAGAGAATCAAAGTGGGACGTCGAGCCTGGGCGATAGGTAGGGAAGTGGTGTCTGGAACAGAACTGGGAGCCAGGGACACCTGCACCAGACAGCTGAGGCCGGGGCCCGGGGCAGACTGAGTTCGGGAAGGAGATGGACGGCCGTGTGAGGGCTGCCTGTCCGGCTGCAGGAGAGCGAGGTAGAGCAGGAGAGCGGTTGGGGGAGCTTTGTGCCTGGTCCTGTCGTCACCAGTGCTGTGGCCTTGGCCTCTGGACCCCAACTGCCCCCAATACAAAGTGGAGATAAAAATAGACCTCTCTCCTGAGCGACTGCACTGCTGAAATGGCGCGGCATGCCTGAGGCATGTAGTGCACGTCTGGCCATGTGCAGGGATATAGTAGTAGTCAGTGCTTACGGGCATTTTGCTGCTCCAAGCTTCCCAGGGCCCCGCACCTTATGTTCCCTTCAAATAGAGCACCAGAGATGCCCCTGCTTATATTTTGCCACCCAGGGGGTAAAGGAACAGATCTACACAGAGTATCTCTCGTTCTCCCATGGCCATAAAATGGGAGGAGCCTTCTGGCCTGGGAAAAGCCAGACTGGGCCAAGTAAGACCAATCCTTGGAAGTATCTCCACGGCATCCATGACAAACTGCATCCATGTCAGGCTTTGGGGCAAGTCTCAAAGAGAGGCTCAAGGTTGAACCTTGGAATTGGGAGCCGGCAGGGTGTGCAGTGAGGCACACACCTCCTGCTCTGGCCCCAGAACCTGGTTTCATGTCACCTGTACAAACCAGAGGGGCAAATCCCTCTGTAGCCCACAAGCCGTTCTTACCACATTCTCGTCATGGCTCCCTTCATCCTCCTCTTTGCCAAGCAGGTCTAATAGCTTCTCTTTGATCAGCTGCAAAACAGGCAGGAAGGGAGGGGTCAGGCTGAGGGGATGGCGCAAAGGCAGAGACCTGCCTCCATCCGGCTTGTTGGCTGGGCAGCCGCAACAGCCAGGGTAGCTGGGCTGTGGCCGGACGAACCGTGGCAGGAGCCCCGCCTGGCAGCCAGCTCTCGGAGCCCCTGCCTGACCTTTGGGCTGCAACGGGGTTCTGGTGCAAGAGCTAGGGCTTCGAAGAGGTGACTGGAGGGCCCTGTCTTGCAGTATGGACTGCCTTCCCTTGTGGATGGAGAGTGTGGATAAGCGGTTTGTGTGGGCATGGCTGGGTCTCCATTGTCCTCAGGAGCAACCTGGGAGCCCCGTTCCGAGGCTGGGCCTGGGGGACAGAAGCCATCCTCTCCCCCAATCTTTGGTTCTGGTCAGTGAGGTAGGATGAGGGACCTGCATATGGTCATTCCCCATAAATAATCCCAAGTCTTACCTCATAAATATAATCAAAGAGCTCTAGTATTGTGAGGATACTAGCACCAATAAACAATCCCATCTGGCCACCAATATCACCTGGAGAGGGACAGAAAAGACCAAAGGTTTGGCTTTACTCACAACACACGCAGGAAGGGGTGAACAAAGAACTCAGAAACCAGACCTTCTGAATGGCTCCCCTCCACGGGGAGCCTGGGCATGTAACTGGAAGGCCAGGCCTTTGACATGTCCCTCCCGCGGTGCACAGCTCTGAGAGCCCATGGTTTGCAGCACCCAGTGAGGATGGGAACTAACCTAAATGCTTATGGGAGGATTCTAGAATAGACCTCATGGGCTAACCAGCTTGCCGATTATTTCAAAACCCCACTGATTGAGCCCTTTTTTTTTGGCTCTGGGCTAGGAACAGAGATAAGGCAGGAGTGGCCCTTGCCCTTGTCAATGGCACAGGCTAGCCTGAGACACGTGTGTCGGGTGTGCTGGGTGGGGGTCTCAGGAGCAGTGTCATAAGAGGCCTCCCCCTGCCTTCGATCATGACACGGCCTTCAGGGCCACCTTGGGGCACCTGTCCCCCACTGGAAGCAGCTTCTATCTCCCTTACCTGCAGGTAAATGGTAAATGTTCAATGTGTTCTCTTTGTAGAGCAGAGGTCCTTACCCTGGGGTGGATGGGCCCCTTTGACCCAAGTTATTCCAGACTGGTCTTTAGATGCCCCTGCATCACTCTCCTGGGAGACCTGTAATCAGTGTGGATGCCTGGACCTACCCTAGGCCTATGAAATCAGAATCTCTTGGGTGGGGGTTGGAAGTCAGGACTTATGAGTTCCCCAGGTGGTCCTTGGGCCCACCAAGTCTGAAAGCCACTCTCCTGTGGGAGCTTCAGATATTTGGAGACCTCCTAACATTGACTGAAAACACTATGTATGTGTGCCTGGGCATTTGTAGTGGAAGGGTTCATATCGGAGAAGCTATTATCCCATTCTGCAGGGGACAGTGATCCCCCAGAAGCCTTAGGTCTTTGTTCCACTGTTTTCGGGGGCCCTGAGCTTGGAACGGCCACCAGCTTGCTGTGTGGCTTTGATAAGACCCCACCTCTCAGTAGTTTTGCCTTCAAAGGACCCTAAAAGGCGAGGTCATTGGGAGGGGGATTGGAGGTGATGGGCTGCACAGTCGTTTCCAGCTGTGACCTCTGAGGCTGGGCTGGGGACAATGCGGGTGCAGGTGGCGGTGGGCATACTGTCCTCCTGGAGATTCCAGGCTGACCTCTTGGTTTGAGAACTTCCTGATGGGCATCTCTGCCCACGCCTATGCCAATTATCACCGATTATAACTGGGAGGAGCCTGACAACCACATCCTGAACAAGCCGAGGTCCTGGGGAGGGGCCTTCCTGGCAGGACTTGGTGCTGGGCTCGAAAAGGCTCCCCTTCCTTCCTGTCCTCCCTCACTGCTCGCTCCAGTGTCCTCAGTGGAGGTTTACTGGGGAGTGTGCACTTATGTGTGTTCATGTCAGGTGTGAGTGTGTTTGTGTGCGGACGCAGCTGGACATGAGTGTGTGAGTCTGCAGGCACGCAGTGCGTGTGCAGGCAGGTCTGTGCAGGCGCTCACTTGTGTGTGTGGCTCATCACAGTGCGTGTGTGGCGTCGGGGTGTGGTGTGCACTGAGGGGAGGGTGTGGCCGTGTGGCAGGGAGAGCCGGGCCTGGCTGAGCCTGGTGGCTGCGGGTTCACAGGTGGCACATGCTCTCGTTGCAGAGCCACAGATGGCAGCATGCTTTTCTCAGCGGGCTATTCTGGGTGGGCATGAGACGCTGGGAACGCTCATCCTCGTGTCTGATGCAGAGCCGAGCTGTCCCTCATGATGGATTCGGAGCCCGGGCCCTCCCTGCTCTGTGTGTGCCTGTGCGTGTGTGTGTGCGCGTGTGCATGTGTGTGAGATGTGAGCTTATGTGGGGAGTGGGGCGGCCGGAGGGGAGGCAGCGTGTCCCGAGTCCTCTTTAGGAAATAAAAGGTGGCAAGAGCGGGTGAGGGGCCTACATCTCCAGGGCGTGACCACTGCCTCGGGCCCAGGGCGCATGTCTCTAGGCTCAGTACACAAGGGCCACAAGGGCCTCAGAGGCCTGAGTGACAGCCACCTTAACCCAGCTGGGACCCAGCTGCGGCCCAGCCCCCAGCCTCCTGTGGGAGGTGCAGAAAGGCCCAGATGGCGCCTTGAAACACCCGCTGGGTCCTGGGACTCTGGCGTGGAGACCGTTCAGGTACCAGAAATGACTCTTCGTGGACCTTCTGGGAGCTGGGGCTTTATCACATTTAACCACCACAGCCACCACATGAAGTGGGTTTTATTAGACCCATTTTACAGATGAGGGACCTGACGGCCCGTGAGGAGAAGCCACTTGCCCACATTCTCAGAGCTGGTCCTTCCTTTATACTCGCAGGTAGGAGGGGCCTGTTCCCGGCCCCCTCCTCCCGCCGCTCTCACCTGTTCAGCTCACAGAGGCAACAATAACTCCTTTTCTTTGCAGAGCCTTTCTTGAGAGTGAGGGGGAGTTGGGAGGAGGGCCCAAGCGGCAGGTCTTCCAACTGTTCTTCCTCTGGGGTCTTGTGAATTTTGTGTTGGGCTTGGGCAGGGTTGAAATGAACTCCCTGCCTCCATTATGTGTCTATGGGGCAGGGGAGCTGATGTGAACTTGTGTGGGTGGCAGTCAAGTTTATAGATATCTGGGGACAAGTGGGGTGTCTATGGGACAGGGGAGCTGATGTGAACTTGCGTGGGTGGCAGTCAGGTTTATAGATATCTGGGGACAAGTCGGGGGCGGGTCACTGGGCCTTCTCAATGCAGTAACACTGCTTTCCAGGTGGGGGCTCCCCTGGGGACCAGCCACAGCTCAGCCTTCCCCGAACCCGACAGCTCTCTGTGCCAGCCACGGCCCCAAGGCTCTGACTCCACCCTGGGGGCAGACGACCACGGACTCCAAGGGGGTGGCTCTAGAAAGGCTCTGCAAGACCCTTAGCGTAGCCGCCTCAATGTGTGGATAGGGAAACTGAGGCAGAGATGGCATGAACTGTCCTAAAACCTGTGCTTCACTGAAGTTCTTCCCACTCTGGGACAGGAGTAGGACAAGGATGGAAGGAACCATTCATGAGTATAAAGGCTAGACTCGTCGGCAGGCTCGCCTGTGCCTGCCTGCCTGCCTGCCCGCCCCCACCTGCCATCCCCCTCCCTCTCACCTTCGGTGAGATGTGGACGTTTGTGCAACAGACACTTCAACTTACCGAGTAAGGCAGCAACTTCATACGCCTTCTTTTGTTCAATTGTCTCGTAATTGAGAGCCTCAAAAAATATATCCAGAACGAGGATGTTCTCTCTGCAGAGGGAATGTTCAGCACCATACATGGGGGGAGCCATCGGCATCCACAGGGATCGTCTAACACAGCTTTCCCTTGGACGGATGGAGAAACTGAGGCCCCAGGGTGTGAAAAAACTGGCCCCAAGTTTGAGCTGGTTAGTGGCAGAGCTGGGATTTGAAACCAGGAGTCCTGACTCCCAGCCCAGTGCTCTGCACAGGGCAGGAGACACAGATGAGCGGCCCTCTTTGCCCCCTAGTTCTCTCTCCCCCCACTCTTCTCATGCTTTGCAGGGGTCCTGCCTACTCTGCAGGTTCTTGGGCCTCCAAAGGGCCTGCCTGGGTTTTTACCTGCAGGAGAGGACTCTCCTCTATTTATTCGGTTTTTCAAAAATTGAGTTTATTGGGGTGATGTTGGTTCATAACACCATACAGGTTTCAAGTGTACAGCTCAATCAAACATCATCTGCACGCTGCCTCATGTGCCCGTCACCCAAGCAAAGTCCCTTTCCGTCCCCACATATCGCCCCTTAGCCCTCCTCCACCCGCCCCCACGGCTCTTAGCGCCCATCACCCGCCCTCCCCTCTGAGATCTGTCAGTCTGTTCCATGTGTCCATGCCTCTGTCTCTATTTTGCTCATCAGTTTATTTTGTTCATTAGATTCCACATATAAGTGAGATCACACTTGTCTCTTGGTGAGGCCCGCCTGCCCCCGCTGCCATCCCCGCCTATGCCTGAGAGTCCCCAGAGCTCCTAGTGGGATTTACAGCAAGCTTCTCCTCGTGGGAGGCACTGCCTTGGCATTGCCAAGCCAGCTGCCAGAGCCTGAGCAACTTTTTAGGGTGCAAACTTCTTTCTGGCTAGGGTGGGGGGTTCTGGCAGAAGCACCTTGGTTCCCTTTTGTTCCTTCAGGCAGATGTGTTAATGAGACGCGTCTTGGCAGGAGGCTTCATTATTGTCGGCAAACGCCTGCTAAGCAGCACGACCCGGCACCTCCTACGATTCCCACTCCTTCAGCGTTGCTGACAGTGCCCTTCATGCCTCCGCCCTCAACCCGCTGAACAGAGCAGTTGGGTTTGCAGACACCAGCCGTAGGCAGGGCTCTGGTGACTGTGTTGGCAGGAGGGAGCGGCTGGGGAGAAGGGAGCCGATCTGCTCTCTCCGTGCAGGGCTCTCTGAGGCGCTATTCCAAGGGCCACCATCTCTTGCCCGGTTTATGGCAACTATCTCCTGACAGGCTCCCTCCTGCCCATTGGGCTTCCCATCCATCCTCTAAACTGCTGCCTGACGGATCTTTCTAAAACTGCTAGACTACTTCTAATTAAATAAAACTACAATTTAGTTCCTGAGTTGCTCAAGCTATGTTTAAAATGCTCAGTAGCCACATGTGGCTAGTGGTTGCCATGTTGGACATCACAGATAGAGAACATTTCGTCGCAGAAAGTTCTGTTGAAGAGCAGTGATCTAAAATACAAATTAGAGTCTGTCACTCAAATACTTGGAGCTCTTCGGTGGCTCCCTATTTTCTTAGGATAAAATCCACTTCCTGCCCATCTCCAGTCCCTGCCTCACACCCAGCTCGGACCCTGTTGCCCAGACACAGCCACTTGGCCTGCTTTCGCTTGCAGTTCTTTTGTCTGTCCTGTGCTGATTCCCTCTGTGGAGCCTCTGCCTGGGCCTCCCTCTTCTCCCGTGTCTTTCATTCATTTATTCTGTCCAAAGATATTTTTTGAGCATCAAGCCTGTGTCAGACACTCCACAGCAGGGAACCAAAAAAAAGAGGTTCCTGCCTTGAGGAAGCTTTCCATCTACTGGGGCAGCAAGTGATACACACACACACACACACACACACACACGAATATAGAATTACACAATATAGGGCGTGAGTGTTATAAAGAAAAACACAAGTGCTTTGGAATAAAAATAATAGGAGTGGGTCTAATCTAGCTGTTGGAGGAGATGGCATTTAAATGAAGAACTGCATAATGAAAGACTGGTTAGGTCAAGAGTGAGAGGAAAAGCATTCCCAGAAGAGGGAACAGAATGTGCAAGGCCTGCCTGGAAAACTCCTATGCATCGTTTTAAGGAAAAAAAAAAAATCCCTGAAGCTTTCTTTGACCATATCCTCATGAAAGATGCAGTCATCCATCTCCCTGTAGCCTTATTGCCTGTTCAGCCTTTGTAGCATTCAGCTCTATACTTGTCCCCCCACAAAAGTATAAGCTCCTTAAAGGCTGGGGCTGCATCTTAATCATTTTTGTCTTCAGATTCTGAGAGCTGAGCATAGAGCCTGGCACATAGTAGAGGCTTAATGTTTGCTAAATGGAACTAACTGCTTACCTTTGCCTTCTTCCTCAGTTGCCCCCAATTTCCTCCAAATTCATATCCCACCCGCCCCCCCCCCCCCCCACTCCCCTGTCCACATGCCCACTGAGCTTACGAGATATATTTTTCTGATTTGTTAAATTTCTTCTCGAGGTACTTGGCTGATGTCTTGCTGGGGATCTTCACCATGGAGAGCTCTTTGTTGTAGCGGGTCAGGTTGCAGGGGGTCCTGCAGAGACAGTAATTACTGTCCTTTTCTGCCAGCAGACCTGGAGGGGAGAGGGAGGTGAGGCTTAGCCAGGTACGGGGACTGGGACCCCTGGGCCCAGAGGAGCCTGTCCTGAAGCAGAGAAGGGAGCCCCTGGGAAGAGGTACTCTCCTGGTGAGTGAGGGGGTGGGGCTGAGGAGAGAGGGTGAGCTGGGCTTTTGCTTTAGGTTCAGGATGTGAGCACTTACACAAAAGTGCCCACTCCTTCTAGGTTACTCTCGGTTGGTCCTGTTTCCTCCTGCTTCTTTTACTGTTTTGTTGCCCTTTAAAAACTGTTGTTAAGCGCCCCTTTTGGAGAATAGCTCCAAGGTTGCCCAGGCCACTTCGACTTCCCAGGGCCTTCTTCTCTGCTCCCAGCCTCCGTGTTCTCACCCACAACGCGGGCTGCCTGTCACAGGCAGGTGTGGGAGACCACCGCCTCTGAAACCAGGGCTCAGCACCATTTCTTCTGGGGCTCCTCCTAGCCAGCGCTCACCCCCTGTGCCTGCTGGGTTAGGGCGTAGGCAAAGATTCACAATTCTTTTCCTTGGAGGCAAACTCCCTGCACCTGAACTCCTTCTCCTCTCTTCTTCCTTGTAAGACCTGTTGGTTGGAGACGTCATTTCCCTCCCTCCTTCTTCCCTCTATCTGCCTCCGTGTTCCTGGCTACCCATGGCTGTTGTGGAGACTTCACTCCGAGGAGAGGCTGAGTCTTCACGCACATTGAACGCCACTTCCTGTCCTCTCAGCCAGGCCTCCCCGAACCAGTCCTCCTGGATATGTGATTCCAGAGCTATACCCCACCCCCCGCCCTTAGCATTTGAGTCCATATGATTTATAAGTTCTCTCTGCTTCTCTTGATGGTAAACCATTTCCCACAGCTGGAGAGAGGCAGGCATGTGGAGTGGGTCTAGCTTTGGGGGTGCAGCTTGTTGCAGGAATCTCTCTCACCTGGTTTTCTGGGCGGAGGTGGGCAGTGGCAGAAGGAATCAGCAGAGTTATTCCAACCCAAAAACACCACGCAGGAGGAGGGGGAGTGCTCACTGCCTTCCATTGCACACGTGGAATGTACACGTGGAATGCACAGGCAACGGGCCTTCCCTCTGCCCGTTCCCCTGCCTTCCTGGGCTAACTGCTGTGGAACAACCTTGGCCTCCCTATGTGAACCCCCAGGCGCGTGTAGGGAAACACTGCCAAGCTCCCCCCTGACACCCACTCCTCTCTCCCCACCTCTCCGCCCCGTGCCCTTCCCAGCCCTCATCCACGGCATCGGGGCCTCCCTGACTGCTCTCTGCCTCGCTTTCCCGCGTCCATGCCACTCTGTCCCGCCTCTTCCCCCCACCCTTGTTCCCCCTCCCACCCAATCTCTCTCCCACACCCAGAAGATCTCCATCTCAGGCCCTCCCCGTCACTCCACGTGTCCCCGGTACTGACCGAGGGCAGGCTCTGCGCACTCCTTGTGCTGCTCAGGGGTACAGAAAGGCGCGTCCCCTGCAAAGGAGAAACACAAGGAGAGGTACTCAGGCAGCAAACCCTCCCCGGCGGCTGCGGGGCTGGGGGAAGGGAGTATATCTCGGTGCTGGCAGGGGCAGCAGTCTGCCAGAGCAAAGTCCGGAGGGAGCCCTTAATCAGGGCAGCCTGGGGGCATAGGGGCTGGTTCTCATCTTCTCTGACCTTGGGCCAGCGATAATGGGACCTTCACAGACTGCTGCGCTGCTGATGGGTGAGAAAACCCCGGCCGCTGAAAGTGGGGGAGGCAGTAAGCACCTACTGAGCCCTGTGTGAGGGATCATCTCCTTAATTATCACAGGGGCACCCTATGAAGTAAGAAATACTGTATCCTGCCTTCCCAGGACACCAGAGTGGCAGTGAGGGAGGGGGGCTTTGAACCCAGGTCAGTCTGAGCCTGAGGCTGGGGCTCTTTCCACCACACCACAGTGCTGCAGGCGAGAAGGCCTGCTTTGTAAGTTCCTCTTCACTGTGTCCTGAATTCCACATTAGTGACTGAGAGGCCAATCACAGTGTCATGGGCGGAATGATGGAAATTTTCACTGCTTGCTGTTCCCTCCGGTTCCAGGAGGGAAACTCCCCCGGCTGCTGGCCCAGTCCAGGCAGAGGGAGGGTAACATTAACTGTTGCTCAATTGTAATTTCTGGTGTATCTTTGCAGAAATCCAGGACCTATTTTATTGTTTTTTCTTTTACCAAGTGCTAAATTCTGCTGCAATGTCTTGTCTTTTATTTTTTAAAAGTATTTTATTTATTTATTTTTAGAGAGAGGGGAAAGGAGGGTGAAAGAGAGGGAGAGGAACATCAATGTGCGAGAGAAATATCAATTGGTTGCCTCTCACACAGGCCCCAAACGGGGACTAACCAAGGCATGTGCCCTGACAGGGAATTGAACCGGTGACCTTTCGCTTAGTGGGATGATGCTCAGCCAATAGAGCCAGGCTGGTCAGGGCAGTGTCTTTTCTTTACCATTTCCCCAACACTTTTTTTTCAAGGGCTGAGGGGCTGTTGTGTTTCCTCCTTTCTAATAATAATAATAATAAATTTAATTGATACATTTTCCTTTTGGCCTGTTTTCTAGGCAGCTCAGAGGTTATTTTAAAGATCAATGATTATAATCTTAGATTACCAAATAAGTTACTGATTACTAATGAAAAAATTCAAAATTTAGCTGTGAGGATGTTCATTTCAGCATTGGTTATATCAGAAAACAATTGATGATGAACTCAGTGTCCCATATAAGGATTTTGTTAAATATACTTTAAATAAAGCATGCTATAAACATGAAATAGTACCTGTTAAATATGATAACAAACTTCCTGGAACGTAGTAGGTCTTCAGTTAAGGTTTTGGTTCCTCTTCCCATATGCTAACACAACAACTACTGGCTTCTGCAGTTTAAAAAGTACTTTTATGTCTTAGCCTAATTTTATCCTCAAAACAACTAATGTTTCTGTTTTAAAGATAATGAAGGTGAGAACAGAGAGGTTTAGAAACTGGGGCCAGGACACACACCAGGTGAGTGGAGGAACCTGAATTAGAAGCAAAGGCTCTGCCTCCAGCCCCAGTCATCCTTCCATGATGCAACACCAAAGTCTTCCTGCCCTAATCAGCCCCCAGCCCCACTGCAAGGCTGCCTCTGACATGCCGGCCCTCTCTGATGAGATGGCCGCGTGCACTGTTAGTCCGACAACAGGAAGGAACATCTGCACATGCAGATTTACTTGCTGTCTGATGGACTTTGCCTCATTTGAAAGAGTGCTGGACCTTTGGATGCAAGAAGGAAACATCTGGATGAAAGCAACAAACATCTGGATGTTTGCACCACATCAGGATGCAACAATTGCAAGCATCCAGATATCTGGACACAGCAAACAATTAGCAAACATATTGAGCATTGGAAGGAATGTTTTCCAGACATGTGGACACTTCTGGACACCAGGATGCTGCCTTGGCCGCTAGGGTGGATGTTGCTATGTGCTCTCTAAATGCTTGGGCACCAACTAACAGTCTTCCCAGAATGGCACCCCTTGAGATGCTCATGGTGTGGGCGAAGTGTTTCCCAGCAGGGCAAGAAATGCAAAGAAGGTCCCAGGTGGTCCCCGGTGGGGCCCTGCGGCCACCCGTCCCCTGGCACTGACCTGGCATGTGGACCATGCGGCAGTTGCAATTCTCCACGATGTAACGGGTCTCACAGTCGATCCTACAGGCGGTGATACTGTAAACAGGAAAGAAGTCGAGTCCCATTTCTGAGGATCGGCACTCGCCCCACGGTGGGGGCAGGTATGTGAGCTGCAAGACAGGGAGAAGGGGGCAGCAGTCAGCCTGGGAGGTTAGCCTCAGTGGAGTCAGTAGCTCATTCATTCACTTATGCAATCAACAAACAATTATTGAGCATCTACTACGTGACAATCCAAACTCCACTGGCCTCACATGCCTTCCACATCTGGCTCTAACACTACTTTTCCTATTTTATCCCTTACAGCCTTCAAGAAATGCCGATCTTCACAGAGACTTTTACACATGCCATGTGTCTTACCACCTCCACATTTTGTCATCTCCCATTCCATAGAAGGACCCAGTTAAATTCTACCCTTTTTACTTGGGACCCCAGACCTAGGCCCAGAGGTTGAAACCTGGAGGAAGATTCAGGCTGAAATGGCCTGGGGCACAAACCCTGTTGTTTATGGTCCTTGGATCTGACTAGCTGAGACCTCCAGTGTCACATGGTAGACAGCTCTTCTGGGGAACATGCCACTTATTCTCAGAGGTCCAATGACCATAAAATGTTCTAACACTTACGGTGCTTGCCTGCTGGGGATGAAGAGGGTGAAGGATGAGGGAACTAATGGTTCTTGAGCACTTACTATGTGTTAAGCCCCAAGCCAAGTTCTTTATATACCTTTTTTTTTTAAATTTAAGAATAAAAAATAAAACACACACATTTTCAGTGCACAGTTTGACAAATTCTGAAAAATGAGTACACCTATGTACCTACCACTTCAGTCTAAATCACCCTAGAAAGTTTCTTCCTGTCCCTTTCTGATCAGCCCCACACCTGCCCAGACAATTGCTGCTAGGGATTTTATCGCCTTTGGTTGGCTTTGCCAGTTCTCAAATTCCATACAGATGAAAATTTACACTATGTGCTCTTTTATGTCTGGCTTCTTTTGCTCAACAAAATGTCCATTACACAAAGTGAACTTCACAGCAAAGATACTGCATGAGCTAAAGGGGGTTATTTCACAATGATAACAGGATCAAGAGAATATAAAAATTCTAAAGATGTATTGCCTAATGGTAAGTTTCAAAAATACATGAAGCAAAAATTGACAGAACTAAAGGGAAAAATAGACACATTCAGAGTTGGAGATTTCAGCATTGCTCTCTCAGTCACTGATGAATAAGGAGACAAAAAGTCAGCAACAACATAGAAGATCTGAGCAACACCATCAAACAACTTGACATCATTGCTTTTTAAAAAGCACTGTCCAAACAATTATGGAATTCGCATACTTTTTAGGTGTACGTGGTCCATTCACCATGATACACCAGATGCTGGACGATGAAACTAATCTCAATATATTGAAAAACTGTAGGGAGTATGTTTTCTGACCAAAGCATAACTAAATTTGAAATTAATGAATAACAATAAGTAAAAAGATAACACAAGTTACCAATATCAGAAAAGAGAGGATATCTCTCCTAATTCTATAGACATTTTAAAAATAGTAAGAGATTATTATAAGTTATTTTGTTAATAAATTAAAGAACTCAGATGAAATGGACAATTTCCTTGAAACCCTCCCCCCCACAAAACTTGCACAAGAAAGAAACAGAAAGGCATGAATCTTATGCTTACTGTTTGTCTTTTTCCATTCTTTTTTGTCCTTTTAATCTGTCAGAATATTTATATATTTCAGGTAATCTCTTGTAAGCAACTGATCTGGGTGTTGCTATTTTACCCTGACAGGAGTGGAGAGATTAATCCACTTACATTTAACGTAGTTCTTCACACCACGGAGTTGAAGCCCACTATCTGGCTTTGTTTCCCATTTGTCCCCATTGCTATTTCGTCTTTTGTTATCTCTTTCCTGACTCCTTTTGTATTAATTAATATTGTTTTAATAGTTCATTCCATCTCCTCTACCGGCTTTTGATTTATACTTCTTTGTATTATTAGTCTGAGTTGTTTCCCTGGGATTTACAATATGTGGCCTACCTTGAATTAATATTGTACCACTTCGCATAGAGTTCTAATTCCATCCCTTCCTGTTCGTCATTCTTTCCTGTATTGAATTTCCATTTGATATCAGTTTCTTTCAGGCTGAAGAGGTTTCTTGACTATTTTTTGTACTACAAGCATATATTTTACTCATGGTTTATTTGTGGCAAATTTTCTCAGCTTTGTCTTTATTTTTGAAACTCATTTTGACTCTACATAGAATTCCAGGTTAAGTGTTTTCTTTTAGCATTTCAAAATGTTGCACTGTCTTTGGGCCTCCATTGTTTCTTCCCAATTTTCAAACTTTCTGGCAACCCTGACCTCTGATTTGTGACTTTTTAACTCCATGAGGGCTGCTTGGTGCTGGAACGCCATCCCCAGAGACCCCTTAGAACTGGACGTGCCCTGGAGGCAGAGGTCAGGTAAATAAATGCGCACCTCACCCAGCAGCACAGGGCCCTGACCTCAAGGGCTGTGTGCCCTTCAGTGTCTGCCTGCTCCAGTCTGGTCAAACAGTGGTTTTAGACATTCTGCGTCTAAGTCCTATTTCCTGGAGACTTGGTCTGATAAAAGCTACTCCGCTGTTACTGAGAACACAAATTCCCCACACTTATTTTATTTAATATTCACAGGACTCCTTTGAGGGAGATGTTCCTATTCTCATTTTACGAACGAGGAACCTGAGTATTGGAAAGGTTAAGTAGTCTGTTCGAGATCACGCGCCTTGTCAGGGGCAGAGCCAGCACGCAGTCCTGGGGATTTCTGCCTCCCGCCTTGTGCCAGTCACACTGGCTGGCATCTTCTTACAGGGAACTGGGGAGGGGGAGGGAGAACCACACCAGTGAGGGCTTTCAGAGCTTCCCTCTTGTGCCTTTATCTGATGGCTCCTTTCTTTTTCCCTGTTCATGCAGGTGTGCTTCACTATCTCCTCTTTCTTTGGCATTCATGAGTGGGCCAGGCCTTTGTACAAATGTCCTGTATAATGTGGATAATTCACTGCTCTCCTCTAAACCTTAGTTTCCGCATCTGTAAATAGGAAGTATTCGGGGTTGATATGCAATGATTAGAATGGATTAGGTCTCCTACATTGCTCAGTATTGGATCCATGAATGCACAAACTGACTTTTGGTAAGGCTGGGGGTCTGGAATGATGTATATCAACTTTGGGGGATTCTCCTTTCTTTTTTGTCTCCTAGAACAAGGTCCCACGATGGGTGGCCCGAGAACGTAGCTGGCAAAGCTCTGGTGACGAGCTGAGGTCTGCCAGGGTCAGCCACTTCCCTTTTTTGCAGAGGTCGTGATCCAGATACCACGGCCACCCCTACTGAGGCTGCCTCATCATTTGCTCCACCAGCTTTTCTGAAGCCTCACATGCCACGGCCCCTGGAAAATCACAGTGTATACAGTATCAACTCTTGCTTACCAGTGAGTGTCTAAACATAGGTTGGAGTATTTGTTTATCCTGGGCAGGCAATGCCTCTGGGGGCCCTTGAAGCACTGTCTCAAATATCTGAAGGGCCGTCTCAGGGAAGATGAACTAGATTTGTTTTCAGGCATCCCAAGGGAAAGAAAGGTAGACACAAGAATAGTTTGTAATAAGGGAAGTAGAGACCACGATGGCAATTATTGATGTTGCAGGCACCGTGGTAGACGCAGTACATGCATTACCTTATTTTTTTTATTAATGAGAGAGAGAGATATGAATTTGCTGTTCCACTTATTTATGCATTCATTGGTTGATTCTTGTGTGTGCCCTGACAGGGGATTGAACCCACAACCGTGGAGCATGGGGCTGATGCTCTCACCAACTAAGCTACCCAGCCAGGCCCACCTTATTTAACCTTAAAGAAGGATTGTCTCAACTTTCTCACCTATTGTATGATTCAGTAATAAAATCACCATATGGAGAGTAAGTTCCCCATCATGAGGGGTGTTTGAGGAGACCCAACTGCCTGGCTGGGGTGCAAAGAGACAGTTCAAACAACGAGTATATTGTGAGTGAAGAGACTTCTGTCTCTTAAGTCCCTATGTTTAATTATAGACTCTAAATATATTATTTTCCTTTAAGAACTAGAAGCAGTGCGATGGGCCAGACAGAACCTTGAGCCCGTCTTTCACGGGCTAGCTGTGTGACTTTGGGTAAACTTCAGAGCCCCCACCCCCAGCACTTGGTCTCATCCGACTAAGTGCCCAGCAGCTAGTAGGTGCTCATCAGGACTTAGCTCCTATCCCCTTCCCCTAATAAACTCTTTTATGTGTTTCCATCCTTTCGTTTATTTAGCAAATAGCCCAGCTCCACTCTGCTCTCCTTACAGTTTGGTTCTACAGACCAACAAATCTCTGCCTTTTTCACATAAAGTTACTTTGAGTTGGATTTATTATGATAAGGGCTCCTGCCAATTCAGACGTCCAAGTCAAAACGACACCAGGCAGCGGGACCTAGGGGTCTGAGCGGGGAGAGATCTGGTCTGGAGATGGGAATGTGGGAAGCTTTGGTGAACAATGAGGCTGCGGAGTGGATGAGCCAGACCAGGGAGAGAGGAGAGATGCCCAGGATTGAGCCTTGACCTGTTCCTGCATTTACTTGATTGTTTGTCTTTCCTTCTGCATTTTTTTCACTGTGCCAAGGAACTGGTGGCTTGGGATAATTGCTTAAACTTATGAACTGAGCAAAGAACTCAGAACTTCTGTGACTGAACCCTGGTGCTTGCCTTTCCTGCTCCACTGCTTTGAGGCTTCTCTTTACAGTCTATTCATTCCATCACTAGGAACTTGTGCTTCCTCCCTCCCTGCCCTGGGGACATCCTGTGCTGGCCCTGGGCCACTGGCTCCCCTGGCCTCTCCCAGCCCACAGAGCCCGAGGCAGGGCAGCAGGTGGCGCTGCAGGTAGCAGAGCAGCCCAAGGCCTGTCTGTCACCTGAGCGGCCCCAAGGGAGTAGGCCCTTCTCCCAGGCCCGTCCCAAGCTCACTTGTTCTTTTCCTGTGTCTGCAGCCTGTGCCTGAGGCCTTGGCTGGGATGCTGCTGCGGGGGGTGGGCGTGGGGGGTGCGTGGAGGGGGGCGCTCCTG